ATTATTAAGGCCAAGTACATAAGTCACTACATGTTTTCCTATTATATGATCTAGCACTGGCCCATCATTTTAATTATATTTTCAATATTTCCTATAACGTTTTCGCTACTTTTTTATGTTACTACTGCTTCCCGTATTTAATTATGATTTAATGGTGATTTAATAATTAATAAAACTTTAGGTGATTCCTTATCGAGTACTACTTGGCGGGTCCGTGCATTTCTTGATATAAATTTGGTACAAAACCAGTACCAATTTTCTATAGAAAGCATATTAACAATAACTCGTCAAAAATAATCACGGTAAAAGCTTAATAACAAACATACAGCATTAGAATACTATGAGCACGTCCAAAGTAAGTACTTTGGAATTCCTGGCACGGACCCGCCAAGTAGTACTCGATAAGGAATCACCTAAAGTTTTATTAATTAATAAATCACTATTAAATCATAATTAAATACGGGAAGCAGTAGTAACATAAAAGAGTAGCGAAAACGTTATAGGAAATATTGAAAATATAATTAAAATGATGGGCCAGTGCTAGATCATATAATAGGAAAACATGTAGTGACTTATGTACTTGGCCTCAGTAATATGATATCAATACTTTTTGTTAGAGGAATTCACAGCAATCCTGTACTTGGCGTAGTTTTTTACACGTAAGTGTTTTTTGGGGAATATCACAAGTTTTTGTTGTTCACTAGGATATATGAAAACAGTTTTAAACACTGAAATCTGTATTGTTAATCAAATATAAAATATAAATACATCGCAATGTCACTAATCAGATAAACATATTGCGTTGTCGAAAATGTTAAAAGCCATATAAATGTAATTTATAAATTGATTTTTCTTAGAAACACAAAAATTTGAAAGGAAAGTATATTCTTAAATGTAGAATGAAATTCATTTAGAAAGAAGTTGAGTCATTTAGGAATTTCGTAAGCTTTGACACAAGTCTCAACTACGCGTTATAATCAGTGCTCGCTCGCCATTTCAATACGCCCTGATCTCGTACACTAATCGTATTGAACTTGGTGGCAATCGCTTCAGAAGCTTCAATTCCTATCATGAATGTATCAATAACTTTTCCTCATATATAGCGGTTCATAAGACATTTCGTTCCAAAGACAGGTATAAGGAGTTGACTCGAGTAAAGAGTCTCGGCGCGCTGCGCCCTGTACAGCCGGTTGCTTGTACTTGGCGCGAGACTCGACTGAGTCTCTTGATCACAATAACGTAAAAAAATGGTTCGACTGAAAAATCTAAATAACATGCGCTCTGTAGTAAGAAATAAATTTTGTTCATCGAAAATGAATACTAAAATTCTCGATTATAACTCTATTTTACTGGACTAATGCTGTGTTGTTTATCTCGAAATACCTAGGTATATTATATTGCATGCATGTACTTGGCCAGGTAAAAACAAAGAGTACTTTCCTCCAGGAAACGCGAAAAACACACTAGTCGAACGTCTAGATTCAACTGGATAAACGGTCGTTCGTTCGTAGAAAGATTGCTCGAGATAAGACGAATTTAACGGCCAAGTCTCTACAATGTAGTGGCTATTCCCTACGGCTTTGTCTGAAGTTGAATTTCTCGAAAAAAGGTCACTCATTGCAGGAAAAATCATCACTTCGTTTGGGAATATATATATGTATGTTGTAACGTGGCGTCCGTGGGACAGCCAGTTACATAAAAGCGTAGGCGCACGGAGAGCCGTGCCGCCGACGAAAGCCGCCGAGAGAATACCGACAACGCCGAAGGTTCTTAGCGAGAGGAAGCCGGGGAGGAAAACCGGGAGCGCCGAGCCCGACAATCGGGCGCGCTCGGGTAAGATCGGCGCCGCCCAGAGACTGGCGGGCTGTGAGTGCCGAAAAATGGAAAGCGGACCGAGGCGAGAGATAGCGCACGAGTTCGGGTGAACTCAGGATTCTTCGGGAATCCTCAGTCCGGGGGGCCAAAAGGGTGCCACTTCGTTTTGAACCGTGAACCTGGTGTGAGCGAGTTTTGGAAAGTGGTTGGCGAATTTTGGATTTTTTGTGAGACAGTGATTTTGGACTGATACCGTGAATGGCTTGTGAATGGCTTGCTATACCGTGACTTGGCATTTTCCCCGGATTTTGATTTTTTGCGAGAACGCTACGAGGGAGCGGCCCAGAGAGAGCGAGAGAGAAAGAGATGGAAAAGGGAAAAAGCCAGGGACGACCAGGAAGGAATTCGAGTGCACCGGAAGTTCTGGTAAGTCCCATCATACTACCATTTTTCGAGCGAAGCCGCGCGCCGGCCGGGGATGAAGCGCATCCGCCGGTGCAGCGAGGCACGCGGAGTGAGGCTACGGGCCCGCCACCGACTAACACGCGAGAAGATTGCAGCCGCCCGGGAACAGAGAAGACGACTGCCGCGACCGCGTCCCTTGATAGGATTGTATCGAGTCGCGTTCGCAAGACCGACCGACTGTAACCGTTTACCTAGGACAAAATAAATGTAGATTGCTGAAAGGAAATCCCACCGTGTCGATTATTTCGGAAAGGCCGACCGATTCCTGTAGACACTCGCCGCCCTCACGTTCCCCTGTACCAACGCGAAGGAGAGCTAGCGGGAAGATCCGGTCGAGAGGACTCCCGGAAGTGACGCGCAGCGGATTAAAAATTAAAGGCCCGACGAGTCGGGCTGGTGCAAGGATGCACCTGGCGCCCAAGGGATCCGCGGAATGCCACGTTGGGGCCGCGGATAGAACGTA